TTTCTGTGTATCATGCACCTCAGTAATTTTTCATTGCTACTGTTACAAAGCCATCAAACTTAACATTGCTTAAAACTGATTCTAAAGGTTTATATATTCCGTTTTGTAATTTTCTGCTCCCCCTTGTCTCATCTGTCACTAATTCAGGAGGTGATGAGTTTCTCAAACAGCCCTCCATTCACAGAATCAAAGAATCACAGAATGGTTAGGGTTGGAAAGGAACTTAAGATCATCTAGTTCCAACTAAATTCGGTTTCAGAATGTTTTATGACTGTTTGCATTAAGTATATTACCATTTTAATAACTAGCATGTGTGATTACAGTGGGGCAAAGCATTAGCAACACAAGAACTTTCCATTTGGTATCTCTGTCTGTGGAAATTAAATAGCAGTACATTTGAAGATATGATGCATCCAGATATATAATTATCCAGAAGATTAATTGATCAAAGACATTTTAAATTAAGAGATATTTGCAGGTTTACATTATGCATACCACTTGTTCAGTCATCCTATCAAAATAGAATTCTAAGCATTCCTGATGATTTTCAAATTGGTGAATGCTTAACAGGTTTCTGTCTCTACATCTGATGTATATAATCCTGTTTATAAATCTAATTTGAATTATTTCTTATTTATTCTAAAAAATATCAAATGTTTGGGGATGATGTGGTACATCATCCATTTTATCTGCAATGGGGTGGTGGTTTTGTGCCTTCGTATGTATGAAAACTATATTGCTCTACATCAGGATTGGAGGCAGCCTGAGCTGCAGTGATCATACACTTGTGGAGTTTGCAGTCCTGAGGGATATGGGACAGGTGAAGAATAGAGTCAAGACCCTGAATTTTAGGAAAGCCAACTTCCAGCTCTTTAAGGAGTTACTCAATGGGATCCCCCAGAAAACTGCCCTCAGGGTCAAGGAAGCAAAGCAGAGCTTTACAGATGCTTTCCACAGAGCAGAAAACCTTGCGATCGCCAGGTATAAGAAATGTGGTAAGGAAAGCAAGAGGCCAGCATGGCTGAGTTGAGACCTGCTGATCAAACTAAAGGGCAAGAAGGAAATGCACAGGCAGTAGATGCAGGGACAGGTGTCCTGGGAAGAGTATAGGGACACTGCCTGGTTGTGTAGGAATGGGGTCAGGAAGGCCAAAGTGCAGCTTGTGCTGAACTTGGCAAGAGATGCAAAGAATAATAAGGGCTTCTACAAGTATGTCAGGCAGAAGAGGAAGGTCAAAGAAAGTGTTTCCCACTGACAAACATGTCTGGCAAACTAGTAACAACAGCTTAGATACTCAACAACATTTTTGCCTTGGTCTTCACTGGCAACAACTCTTCCCACACCTCTCAAGTGGATGGAATGCAAGACAGGGACTGGAGGAGCAAAATCCCTCCCACTGAGGGGGTGCTAGAGAAGACAGAGTTTGAGACCACCTGAGGAACCTGAACATACATAAGTCTATGTCACCTGATGTTTTGCTGACAGACAGGGTACGCCACAAAGTGTCCACACATTAGCTGTATAATATGCAGAGTTTATTAAACAAGCACACTAAAGCCAATAAGCACACTAAAAGCAAGCGCACTAATGTTAATTAGGTAAATATCTATATATATAGTGAATTAGTACAATAAGGCAAACCAGAGATATAGGTATATAAGTAAAATACCAAAGAAAGTTAGCAAAGCCCCGGTGCAGTAGATGCCAGGAGTCTCAGGTAATTGGGAAAATTCCTACATAGTGCGTTCACCCTTCTCTCATGGCCACAAGAGGGTCACGCTTTTACGCCCTTATCAAAACAGCCGGTCATGCTAGAACTTCATTATGAACTGGAGTCAAAGGCAGCCAAGTGGGATGCCACAATTGATATTGCCAATGCATTTTTCTCAATTCTTTTGGCAGCAGAGTGCAGGCCACAGTTTGCTTTCACTTGGAGGGGCATCCAGTACACTTGGAACCGACTGCCCCAGGGGTGGAAACACAACCTTACCATCTGTCATGGACTGGATGAATTCAGCAGCTTTATAGGAATCGGTCCATGGACTAAGGAATGATAGCTCTCTCTTTGCGTGTGGTTGGGTGTGTGTGTATATATATACAAGACAAAAGCGATGGTATATTGGAAAATGTGGGATCTGAGCATGATGTGAATGGTATGGAATAAGGGGTGGATACTGTCCTGGGTTCAGCAGTAGCAGTCATTTTTCTCCTTCTTAGTAGCTGGTGCAGTGCTGTGGTTTTGACTTTCAGCCTGGGAGCAACACTAATAACACCAGTGTTTTTAGTTGTTGCTAAGTAATGTTTACTCCGATCAAGGACTTCTTGAGTCTCATGCCCTGCTACGGAGGAGGGGAAGCCAGGAGGAAGCAGAGACAGGACACCTGACCCAAACTAGCCAAAGGGGTATTCCATACCACAGCACGTCATGTCCAGTATATAAATTGGGGGGAGTTACATGGAAGGCTCAGATCGCTGCTTGGATCGGGATGGGTATTGGTCAGTGGGTGGTGAGTGGTTGTATTCTCTTCCCTTGTTATTTCCCTTATAATTATTATTATTGGTGGTAGCAATAGTGGTTTTGTGTTATTCCTTAGTCATTGTACTGTTCTTATCTCAACCCATGGGAGTTACATTCTTTCTATTCTCCTCCCCATCCCTCCAGGAGTGGGGGGTGGAAAAATGTGGGGAGTGAGCGAACGGCTGTGAGATTCTGGGTTACCGGCTGGGTTTAAACCACAATGACAGTTGATAAAGCTCTGATGTGCAGAGCGCGCGTGTAATGGATGGTGATTTGGAGAAAGGGAACCTACCTGAGAGTTGATTCTCTCTCATGACTGAGAGATATAACAAAGTATTTTTTTGTCAAACTGTAGGTAGAGTATGCATGTTTATGTTCATCATGACTTTGTTGGAAAGAGACAAGAAAACATAGGTGTGCAGCTGTTCTATGACCTTCACACATGGCTGCACTGGGTTACCTGGCCAACGCTCTCGGCATGGACAACAGTGAGATCATGAGAAACTTCACAGTCCCATGTGTAAACAATTAGAAATATGGCATAAAGCCAGTTGTTTTTCTAAGGGTATAAAAGCAGGACCCTCTTGTGGCTGAATCCAAAGCCTCACTTATGGGTGGATGCACCTCGTAGGGCTTTTCCCAGTTACCTGATACTCCCAGCATCAGCTGCAACGGGGCTTCCCAGCTGGAAGTGTGGGCCTGGATGATGACGATTCAGTGGTAATTGGTGATGTATTTCCTCTTAATCTCTGTACTTTACTTATATTTCTGATTTTCTTCATTGTACTTATTTATTGTATATATAGAGATATATACCTGATTTGAGTTAGTGTGCTTGTTTGCTTTACTGTGCTTATTTGCTTTAGTGTGCTTGTTTAATAAATTGTGCATGTTATACAGCTAGTGTGTGGTCATTTTGTGATGAACCCTGCCTGTTAGCAGAACAGTGTGGCACTTGTATTGAGTACTATGCCACAGCACAGGAAGCAGAAAGTGAAAGTAGTTTTCAATTAAAGCAGGATGTAAGCAGGATGATTACAAACACAATGACTAAAAATAAGATTGTAAAAAGCTAAGGAATTACTGGTTTTCATTTTTGTATTTTAGACCAGTTTTAAGCATTGTACGTTCTTATTTTGCCCAGTAATATATGTATATTATATATAAAGTAGCGATATATATAATATGTATATGTAATGCATATATATTTATAAAAGCATTGGGCAATCATTCATAGGATGTAATTTAACAAGAACAAATGCCAGATTCTGCACCTGGGTTGGAGTAACACTGGGCACAAGTATAAATTGGGAGAGGACTGGCTGGAGAGCAGCCCTGCAGGGTGCTGGTCAACAGTAGCCTGGAGTCAACAGTGTGCCCTGGCAGCCAAGAGGGCAAACCGCATCCTGGGGTGCATCATGGTACAACCAGCAAGTCAAAAGAGGTGATGATCCTGCTGTATTCAGTGTTGGTGCAGCCTCACCTTGAGTACTGTGTTTAGTGCTGGGCCCCATGGTTTAAGAAGAATGTTAAGGGACTAGAATCCATCCAGAGGAGGGCAACAAAGCTGGTGTAGGGGCTGAAAGGCATGTCCCATGAGAAGTGACTGAGGATTCTGGGTTTGTCTCATTTGCAGTCAAGGAGGATGAGGGGTGATCTCATTGCTCTCTACAGCTTCCTGAGGAGAGGACTTGGGGAGGGAGGTGTTGATCTCTTCTCCCTGGGATCCAGTGACAGGACACACGCAAATGGCTCAAAGCTGTGTCAGAGGAGTTTCAGACTTTACATTAGGAAGCATTTCTTTACCAACAGGGTGGTCAAACACTGGAACAGGCTTCCTAGAGAGGTGGTTGATGCCCCAGGCCTGTCAGTGTTTAAGAGGCATTTGAACAATGGTCTTAATAAGATGCTTTAACTTTTGGTCAGCCCTGAAGTGGCCAGGCAGTTGGACTAGATGATCATAGAATCATTTAGGAAAAGACCCTTAAGATCAAGTCTCAAGTGTTAACCACTGCCAAGTCCACCATTAAACCATGTCCCTAAGTGCCACATCTACATGTCTTTTAAACACCTCCCAGGACGATGACTCCATCACTTCCCTGGGCAGCCTGTTCCAGTGCTTGATAACCCTTTTGGGGAAGAAATTTTTCCTAAAATCGTTGTAGATCCCTTCCAACTGAAGTATTCTATTCTATATACACAAAAATTGCTAATTTTGACCTGAGTTTTCCTCTGATATATTTTGAGGCTCAGGATAAAATACAATAGGTATTCAAAGTAGTTTTAAGTTTCTTTCCCCCTTCTTGTGTAGCTGCTCCTATTACCTCTTTACAGGTTAAATTGAGAACTTATGAAATCTACACAGCATTAAACCAACTCACATAAAAATAAAGCAGACAGCAGAGCAGGTACACGCTCCTAACTCCCGGGTCTGCATTCCCATCCCCGCTTCTATTCCGTGGGCAGAACTTGGTGCCAGGCGCTGCGGATGCAAGGCCGCAGCTGTCCCAAGGAGGCCGGACTAGAACTCTGCTTTACCCCTCTCCTGTCGGGACTGCTGGAGCTTACTTTCTGTTTTCGGGTGGTGGGGAGGGGCTGTGGAGCGGCTCTTGTTTTGTTGCCCCCAGGCTCCTGACGATGTGGGACGTACTGGTGAAAGGTTGACGGCTATGCCGGCAGGTTCTAGGAGGCTTGGGCAGGCGGGGACGTGCCTGGCGCTAGGACCCAGGAGGATGCGAGGCGGCTCTTAGAGCCAGATTGCAAATTCGCCGTGATTTAGTGTGCTCGGTGTTTGCGTACAGCGTGCGACGGCTGGAGCAGGTTAGTGCTGTTTGTGGGGCCAGGCTCGGAGTCGGCGGGGTGTGTGGGTGAGAGTGGGCCGGGCGCCGCGCAGCTAGTTAAGTGCTAGCTAGCTTATTTGCTTCCTCGTTCCACTCCCCCAGGGCCTGCTGCGCCGCTAACAGCGGCTACGTTTTTCAGCAAGCAAGATGGAGTATGAGTGGAAACCTGACGAACAGGGGCTTAAGCAGATCCTGCAGCTGCTTAAGGAGTCCCAGTCCCCGGACACCACCACGCAGAGAGCCGTGCAACAAGTATCCTTGGTCGAGGCCTACACTACACGGGAGGGTGGGCCGGATGAAGCGCGTAGGCAGAGCAGAGCGGAGCTGTGGTGGTCCGGGCGGGTACTAGGGAGGCCAGGGGCGCTGGGGGTGGGGGCAGAGCGACCACAGGGTGTTGCAAGGCGGCGGTAGCCGAGCCTGCCCAGGGAGCGGCTACAGCGAGTGCTGTGGGTCAAGTCTCGGCCGGAGCGGGTGGCCGGAGCGCGGCGTTTGAACCGCCGAGGTGGCCTGTGGGCCGCGGGGTTGCCTTCTCCCGTGGGGAGCCCGGGCACCTGTTGTGAGTCCAAAGCCAAGTTCCGGGTTTTTTGTTTTGGTTTTAAAGCTATGGCGTGGCAGCTTTTCCGTATCTGCTACTTTCCCAGGTTACTTCACGTTGGGCTGCTGCCAGCGCCTAGCTTTCGGCAGCGGCGGATCCCAGCGGGGGGGGGAGGAGGGGCGTGCTGTCTGCTAGGCTGAGTTGGCGGAGCGGCGCGGGGCACCCGCGCCAAAGCGGGGCTTGAGTAGGGGCTTCCTAAAATCTTACGCTGGTATTCAAGGCGAAAGCTATAGTTAGTGGGAGAAGTGCCCCTGGTGGAGCCGCTGCCTGCATGCTCTCGTTGGCCTGCTGGCTCTGACATAGTATTTTGCTACGCTGTATGTTTTCGGCTTGCCTGGAGTCTTGAGCCTGAAATACTGTTTGTTACACTCCTTACATTTCATGAGAAGGGGGAAATCTACCTTATGTGGCTTCTTGTGCAGCTTTGCGGTGCATTTTATGTTAGTGTTGTATATTGCTGGTTTGTTGTTTGGGTGTCGTGTTGCACCCCACCAGCCCCCAAGTCTCTCTTGATCGTAGAAGTGATGAAATAGCGAGGTTTTAAAGAACCGAGATTGAGAAGCATCTCCCATCTACTGTCTCCTACTCCCAGAGTTAACTACGCAAGTGTTTTAAGATATCTAGAAGTCCTGAAAGGATATCCTTCTATATACGTATAAATATATATAAAGATATAATGTTAGAAGTTTAGCTTGAATCCAAATTTACTTGACTTTTCTGCTTTCCTAACAGATGTGGTCAAACTTTGTAAGACTTCTTATCTGAAAGATGAAGGCAGTTTTCATCTTGTTCTTGCAGCTATGTTTTAGATTCTTAAGATGCTTTTGCTTCCTTTCAGAAATACTATACAGAAGTGGCTAAGCATTCTTATAATTCCCCAAATGCTCTTTTTGAGTATTTCAAATGCAACAGTGTTTATAGTGTAGCTTTCATGTAAAATTACATTTTAAGGCTCTGCTTCAAATAACCTAATGGCATCTAGTTTGTTTGTTCTGAAAAATAGCAGTGTATGTGTAGGATGGGCAATATAGGTGATGCTGTCTTGAAGATGAGTAGAAATTTACTGAACAAAAGTGCTGTTAACATGTTTGAAATTGTTATTAAATGTGGTAAGAGAGGGCCTCATATGTTGACCTGTAAAGGTTAGGTAAGTGGCACATTTTTACCGTTGTATTATCAGTTTGGGAAATGTTTTAATGCAACTTGATAGGCCATGTCCTATAATTAAAAAAAAAAAAAAGCCAGGGGGAAATGTCCTTTGAGACTGTTTCCACAAAAATTTGTGATGCTACTTAATAGTGTGTCCAAGCAGCCTGGTGATTAATGTTTTCAAATTTAAAGTACTTCCAGCGTTGACTCTTTCATGCCCATTATGACACAGTTTTGGCATGTTTAGAACCTCAAATGTAATGAAGTGAGGAGCATAGCTTAGCCAAAACCATTTCTTAACAAAGTTATGCATTGGTAAGACTTTCAAACATTTTTTGAATTAAAATATACATGTTTCTTGGAGTAAAAAAGAAAAAATTAGTGGGTGAAAAAATGTATAGGATAATATGGCCTATAAGCTATTATTTGATTCCTAGACTGATTAGGTGTGTTCAAATTAATTTTGTATTTAATACTGCCCTTTCAGTTCTTTCTGCTTGCTTATGTTGCTGCTTCTTGTTTGAGCCATCAGAATTCGCAGTTGTTTGACTAAATGTTTTGGTGATTATGTTTCTGAAGCTTGGAGAAGAAGGAAAAATACTGAGATGTGCTCCCCTACTTCAGCCAGTTGCTGAAAGAGCTTTTTGGCATGACACCTTTGACAACAATCTTTGGATATATGTTTCTTCACTTCTGAGGGGCTGTGTAGAATGTTCTGTGTTATTTTTCACTTGCTGTGACCATCCTTCTGTTTACATTTTATCTCCTGTGTGTTTCACAGCAAAGGAGCTTGTGGCTGTGATAAGTACACTTCCTCTGTTAAGTCCAAAGAGGGCAGGTTTCTCTAGCAAAGTTACTACAGGCTGTTTGGTCATTGGAAGGGCCATCAATGTCCTAACATAAATACATTTGGCTGAATTTTAGCGACTTCTTGAATATTTAGAGATTTTAGCTATAGAGCAAGTAAAGTAAATATCTAATAAGCAAATAATCTTCTTCTAAAAATAATATTTTATTAAATGTCTTGATTGTTTGCCATACTGATGATATCTAGTAGGTACAGTAACTTAAAGATGAAATTGCATGCTTATGACTTAAAATATTGTTGAGCATAATACTAATTAATACCAGGGCATGAGAACAAGATACAAGGAGAATGACAGATCACTGTTTTAGCCAAGCAGTGGCAGAATACTTAGAAATTTCATGCAGAAGTAATGACAAATTTTATAGAAACTACATACCTTCTGGCTCTTCAGAAACCTAATAATTCTTGCAGTTTCCCCAAGGACATAGTGAATAGGCTTTTATTGCTACTAAGATACTTATTCAGAGGTATCACTCTAGAAAATTGGTTTGTGTACAGAAGGATTTTTTTTTAATTTTTTGTTTGGTGTTTCTTGGTTGGTTTGGTGTTTTGTTTTGTTTTGTTTTTTTCTTTTGGTGTTGTTTTTTTTTTTTTAAGAGACCATGGACAAGCATGAAGAACTTGGTACAAATATCTGGGCATTTACAATTAAACAAGTTCTTACTGTTGAAAGCTCAGGCTGTGCCTAGTTAGCATCATAAAGTATATGACTAATCATAGAATAGGGTTGGAAAGGACCTTAAGATCATCTGGTTGCAACCTCCCTGCCATTGGCAGGGACATATTAAAGTGACAACATTAAAGTGAGTAGCTTATCAAAATCGTAGTAGCTGTTGTATTTTAATGCTGAAATGCTTTTATTGTGGAGAAAATAATGTGTTATGGGATTGTGTCTCTCTGGATTCCTTGGGCTTTGCTGACTTCTAAGTGTAAACACTGAAATCTAAAACCACAGAGGAAGGTGGTAGGGGTGTGGTTTTGTTTTGTTTTTGTTTAGTTGGGTTTTTTTTGTAGTTTTGCTTTGTAGGGTTGTTTTGTGGTGTTTTTTTTGTTTGTTTGTTTTTGTTTGTGTTTTTTTTTTCCTTTAGAAAAATTTTTAAGGATCTATTAAATTCTATGCCTGGCCTTGGATGATTTTTTTTTTTTTTTTTTTCAGATTTCAATGTAAGTAAAAGCTGCTACTTCAGTATGAAAATTACAGAAACTGCTTTCAGATTGTTCATACTCTGTACGTTGTGAACTTGTAGTCACAGCTGTTTGAAATGATGCAGTAGTACAACTCGCGTAATAATCATAGTATTCAGAAAGCTATAAGCGTTGTGTGTGAAGTTTCAAACTTCCTTAGCAGTTTCTCTCTTCAGAAACTAGAACAACTGAATCGGTATCCAGATTTCAACAACTATCTGATCTTTGTTCTTACCAAGTTGAAGTCTGAAGGTAAGTTCTTGAGATATTGGCTGGGTTTTTTTTGGTGTAGGTGTTTTGGTGTTTTTGTTTTTTTTTTTTGTTTGGGTTTTTTTTTCCCCTCAAATTTATTTTATTTAGCTTGAAAGAAATAGGAAGCTGATTTCTATAGTCAGTTTCCTGGTTGGTTGGTACCTATAGTTGTGCAGAATTTTCTTTATCCTCTTGGGAGTCTTTGTGGAAAAATATCTGATAACATGTTGGTGCTTGTAGTTTCAGCCTTGGAATAGATTGTATTCTAAATTTCCTATGAAATCTCAGAAATGTGGGAGCATTGTATTGCTATCAGACTATAGTCAAATTGTGCAATAACTGCATTTCATGGTGATGAATCATAACTATAACACATTTTATAATGTGCTGCTAAAACCAGTTGTGACTGTGATCTCCCTAGTAATCAACCTATTAAATATTTTGAAGATCACATATTAGTGATTCAGAGAAATCTGCAGGAACTCGCCAACAAAGTTTAAGTTGACAAGCAGGTATTCTTTATTGCGGTGCTGGGAGACATGGGGGATTGCTCCTCCAATCGTGTCTCATCCAAGCATCAACCAGGATGTGATTCATTAGATTACATACATTACATCATACTTTTAGAGAATGCCTCCTGCATGCACACTAAAATGGGGTACTGGGCTTTGGGACCCCTGGTGGTTATTTCCTCATCACTTTGTTTTAGGATCGTTGTCATATTAGTAACCACCAGGTGGTTCTGGCAAAGCTTATCTTAGCAATTTCCTTTTCTCTATAGTTGCTAACAAAGCCTAACATCCTTGAAGTTACTTATTTACAACCCCATTCTTCAATCGACCCCATTCTTCAATCCACCCTATTCTTCAATCAACACCATTCTTCACTAGAATTGTCCAAAGATTCTGTTAGAATCCTCATTCTGAAGTCTTAATTCTAATTACCATTGGTTTATTTTTTTTGGTCATTAGTACTAACTGTTTATGGCATACCATGTCCCTTCTTCCAATTGTTAAATTCAGGCAGTTCTTTAGTAACGATCAGGGTGTGTGAAAGATTTTCTTTCCAGTATACTACAGCTACTGATTTGTGAGGTCTTTGCCAGTGAAAGAGACTTATTTCAAGATCTGTTTTGGCACACCTTCTGTTTTTTTTTATATTTATTTGCACTTAATATTTTTGATTTGTGAGGGTTTTGTTGTTTTCCTTATTGTTCTGCCACCAGTGCTTTTTCTACCTTCTAGTGCTTCACCTCTGAGTTTTTGAATGCTTGTTTTTTTTTTTTCACTTTGAATTAGTTTTTACTTGCATGTGGCCCTGTAACATTCAAAGCATCAACAAGAACATTTATATTATTTTAGAACTGCTGTTTTGGTTGTGCTGTCAGCTTGCTTCAGGAGGAAAGAAAGAGGAAGGAGAAGGAAGAAAGTATATTTTCATATCTTAAGGCTGGAGTATATCCAAATGTTTTTGTATGGTGTTTGTTGATTCGGAGAAAATTCCAGGAACAAACTCGCCAACAGTTTCAAGTTGACAAGCAGGTATTCTTTATTGTGGCATCAGCAGACAGGGGGGATAGCTCCTCTTAAGGTGTGTCCCCGAATTGCTATACAAGTCATCCTTATATGGTCACTGGGCATACATACATATTCATGAGGCTAAACATGAATTACATCATTTTCCAGAAAGTTTCTGGCATGCATACAAAAATGTGATGGTGGTCTTTGAGGGTCGTTTACTTCTCCCAACAATCTTCATAACTTCTGGCAGTCCTTGAAGCACCAGCTTAATTAATGTGGAAGACATAGCAATAATCCTGTCAGTTAGTATAACTGCTCCCATCCTGGACATCTGCTGGTCCTGGATACTCCCCAGTAGATGTTTACACCAGTTTAATGGGTTCATTAACACCACAAACATAGCAATTATCCTGTTCTTCTATTTATCAGTTAGGTTAACTGTGCCCCGGGGGCATCTGCTAGTCCCAGATACTCCCCATCCCCAGGTCCTGTTTCTCTATTCTGCTTTTCTTACACTTTTTGTACTAAGGTAATAAGGACCTAAAACTATGTCAACTACCTTCAAGCACTGCAGTTATTTTCCATTACAAAGCCATAAAACTTAACATTACTTAGAACTGATTACATTTTGTGCTTTTATGCCTCCTTGTCTCACTGTAGAAAATCTGATAATCTTTAAGGCCTTGGGGGAATACCTCAGGTACTTAATCCTTACTTGTTAATAAGTATGCTGTCATACCTTAATTTTTCATGTGCTTTATACCATTGTTGTGGTTTGACCCCAGATGGCAACTTAGTACCACAGAGCTGCTCATCGTGCCCCTCCCCCCCAGTGGGATTGGGGAGAAAATCAAAAGACTCGAACTCCTGGGCTGAAATAAAGACAGGTTAATAGGAAAGAAAAGGAAGAAAATAATTATAAAAAAATGGAACATACAAAATAAGTGATGTACAATACAATTGCTCACCGCTTGCTGACTGATGCCTAGACAGTTCCTGAGCAGCAGCCGCTGGCCAGCTATCTCCCTAGTTCATTTATGGAGCATGCTGTCATATGGTCTGGAATATCTGATTCAAAGGGTTAACAAATGTACAGGGGGGTTAGGGTTGAGTCACTTGCTTAACAATGTTACTGCTTGCTCATGCTTATCATACTTGCAGTGTACAAGGGGATGAATCAGGATGCTTGCTTAACAATATCATTGCTCACTCATGATTATGCTAGGACAAGATATAAGGACATAGCTATTGTCAAGAATTAGGGACTGTGTCTTGATTCCCTTCCTTTGGATGCCTCCACGTATGCTAGAACTAGATATAAGGACATAGCTATTGTTAAGAAGTAGGGACCATGACTTGATTCCAGTCCTTTGGACGCCTAGGCTGGCTGAAATTGACTCTGCGCTTTGGACAAAGACCAAGCCTCCAGGGAGCATGTGTAACAACCAGAGGTGAAAAGTTCAGGCTCGAGGAAGACTCATTTACTTCATCTTGAGACCCTTGCTCACGATCACTAGGAGGCACTGCGCAGGCGCAAAGGACTTCTTAGTTCATTATAATACAAAGCAGGAATAGGACATGAATATGTATAGGCATGTTGTGCAACCTCATGCATATGTATAACTTTAGAGGATAAATATAAAGGGGAAACAACGCTGAGGTGCGCATGCTTTTGGAGGAGCTATCCCTCATGCACCTCAGCACTGAATAAAGCATACCTACTTTACAACTTTAACGACTTGTGGAGTCTATCTGCACATCGTATCCCTTGGGTCAGTTGGGGTCAGCTGTCCCAGCTGTGTCCCCTCCCAATTTCTTGTGCACCCCCAGAACTTGGAACTTGATGACTTTAAGGTCCTTTCCAACCCTAATTATTCTGTGATTCTATCAATCTTATTCTCATAATAAGCACAATACTGTACCAGCTACTAGGAATAAAAATAACTTTATTCCAGCTGAAACCAGGAGAGTATCCACCTCTTATTCCATATAATTTGCATCATGCCAGGTCCCACAATTGCCAATATACCATCACCTTTCCTCTATTTTGAGATAAATGCCTGCAGATATCATTCCCTTAATCTATGGACTATCCCTATAAAATGCCATTGACTTCATTCAGCCCATGAGTTTGGGTTCCCTCTGTTAACACAGTCTCTCTGGGAAGGAAAGATGGTGTGTGGTGTTGGGTTGTTGCATGTTGAAACTGGTTCTGATTACATTACTGCTGCACTTCTCTGGTTCCATCATCAAAATTAATTCTTTAGTCTGGGTAATTCTACTATAATGCTGTTGATGCGGCATATAACAACCATAGTAGTGATCACATACATTGTTATATAGCAGCCAACAGGATAGAACTGAGTTCATTGCCTGTCCTCACCCAAATCAAATCTCCTTGAGGTACACACTGGACTTCCACATCTTCACGTATTACCTGCCAAGAGCACCCAGGTCCCTGAGTGAAAGCAACCCCACAAGTGGGTTTGCCTTTACCTGAAGCACGAATAACCCAAGCTGTCTTCCTCAGCAAATTCTTCATGTGCACTACAGGAACTTTATCCCCCTCTGCAGTACGTAAAAGTTCTGATTGAGCTGGGCCAGCCTGGCTGGCAGATCCCCTAGTGTTGAATAAGCAGTTGATTTTTGTGAAATGTGCACCCCAGAGGCTGATGTGTGATAGGGGATGTGATATACCCACATGATGCAGGGCTCTTTGGCCCAAGTGTCTATGAGGTTATTCTGGAAATGAGTCCTGTTGCCTGACTCAGTTCTTTCTGAGGTGCTGTGCCACCACAAGACTTGTTTCTCAAGGTCCAGGATAGTGTTCCGGGCAGTGATGTTGATGTGTGGATAGACTCCACCACAACTCGTTAAAGTTGTAAAGTAGGTATGCTTTATTCAGCGCTGAGGCGCATGGGGGATAGCTCCTCCAAAAGCATGCGCACCTTAGTGCATGAGTGACTGCAGAGTCAATTTCAGCTGGCCTAGGCATCCAAAGGATGGGAATCAAGTCATGGTCCCTACTTCTTAGCAATAGCCACGTCCTTATATCTTGTTCTAGCATATACGGCGGGCACGATAAGCATGAACGAATAGTAACATTGTTAAGCAAGTGCCCTGATTTATCCCCTTGTACATTGTAAGTGCGATAAGCATAAGCAAGCAGTAACACTTAAGCAAGCAGCTTGACCTACCGCCCTGTACATTGGTTAACCCTTCGCATCAGTGTGGGGAAAAGTGTATGTTTGAGCCATCTGGTTGTGGCTTCCGCCAAGGTAAGCACATGGTGCTTGCCTTGGCCGGTCAGTGTGAGTGTGATATAGTCAATCTGCCAGGCCTCGTCATCTTCATATGTCAGCCATCATCCTCCATACCAGAGAGGCTTTAACAACTTGGCTTGCTTAATTGCAGCATGTTTCACATTCATGAATAACCTTGGTGATAGTGCCCAGGGTCAAGTCCACCCATTGATCATCT